TCCTCCCAGCTTCTCGCCTATTCAAACTTGTTATTTGGTTTGCACCAAAGTCATTGCCCTGTGTATGTGTGTATGGGCTGTGTCAAGAAAACAGAGTTGGGACAATATGAAGAAGGTGGGTACAGTGCTGGCTGCAATGGTGGGGGGTACTTGGCTAGCCCTCTCCATGGGGATTGACGTTCAGCCTCATTAATTTTGCCTTCATTATATTTAGGAAATGGTTTATTAAAGAGTTTTTCCCCTAAATTTCTTGCCTGCATCTCACATTTAAATTAAAAGTTGTATGCAGAATTTTAAGTCTGCGTGTTGTGCATTTATGTCAACATTTATAGATGATACAATACTTGGAGGAAAAAATGATGCAGAGTATCCATTTTTGTAAAGACAGAATTCTAAAAGGAAGAAGGTGGGAAATTTGCCAGTAGTATGCTGATATCTGGCTAATAACTCATTGTATGTTGATCTTGACTCAGGCTTTTCCTAGCTTTAATAAATCTGTGATGCACACTGGGGGCAGTTGCGGGGGGTAGGGGAGGGACAGCGGGGTGGGGGAGGGTGGGGAGGGATGACATGGGGAGAAATGCTGGATATAGTATAGACCTAAAGTAAAATTAAAAATAAATAAATAAATAAATAAATCTGTGATGCTTGCAGGATCTAGCCAAACTGGTACATATGATTTGTAATTCTGAAATCATTGTTACTTCCTCTGAGAAGCCATGTGTGTCCATGTAAGTATGTTACGGTGGGGCACCATCATCAGACTTTTTTCATTTAATACATCATGATTAAAATGGAATAACAACGTTTTTCTTCATAGAACAAATCATCTGTTGGGTTCCTTGATTTAACATTTAACTTTTAACTCTTAGCAGTCTAGCAGATCAGTGAGATTATGTATTTGAAAAGTAATCCAGTTATAATTGTATTTGAGAGAGAATATTTAGGAGTTTTTTTTCCATATGAATCCATATGTATTTGACGAAGCAAGTCATTCTGCAAACAGCTGTTTCTCTTAAGATACTGTGGCTGACAAAGGTTAATTTGCAGCCTCCCAGGTTCCTTTTCTTATTCTGATGTATGGTAGGGCTTTCTCTCATGAACATAAAGTACATTTCGCAGGGTTTTTCTACCACCCAGTGCATGGGAAGTCTTGTGTCTGACAGACTGTGACTCTCATAACTCCCTAGACATAGGTGGGATTTGAATCTCTACAATTATACTTTTTTCTCTTAGTCAAAGGCTTTGTATTCATTTGGGAAAAGCCTGAAGGTAGGAAAAAGGCAATACATTGAATTTGGGAGGCTTTATACATGTTCTACAATGTATCACTTTGTCTGTCATCAACTTCTTGATGCAGATGTACTTCAGAAATGTCATCGGCTATTTTCACCCTCTGCTTGCTGCTTTTTGAGTGCATTTTTAAAAGACAGTCGATGGGAAAGGGGAGCTGGAAGATTCATATGATTCATAGGTGTACTAGCACTTATTTCAGCAGATAATTGCTTTCCTATTGAATCACTTTGCTATTTTCTTTACTCAGTAACACAGTGAAAGACCAGTTGAAAATGACATGTTTTTTAAGCCCAAAAGGAAATGGAAAAGGAGGGAAATTGAGGCAAGCATAAATGAGCTTGCACTCTAGTCTCTTCAACGTTTCTTTAATCTTGAGTGTATATGGGAGGGGGAGAGAGTTGATTTCCATGTCTTCACTCCCCTTAGCTGCTGGTTTTAGTACATAGCCTGCTCTGCCAGAGGGTGGCGACTGTCATAGGTACATTTACAGAGCCGTTTAAGACAGGGCCTGATACTTTGCACTAGTGTGTGCTAATTCTGAACCTATGGGTCTAGATTGGAAGAAGGAGGGCTTGGGACACCACTGACTTGGCTAGGGAAACCTGAAGGGTGATTTTTCAGAGCCAACATGGCTGCTAGGCTATCGCACCAAACTGTTATAGACCCAGTGTGACAGGGTACCTTGTGGCCCACTCAGAGTGCTTAGGTGGCCTACGGAAATCATTGGAACCTTCCTAGTACAGAGTTATTGATTTTCCAAAGGACAAAAACAATAGATGATTACCTACTCGACTGGGACAGTCCCTCCCTAATCCCCACTCCATCTCAAACTTACATGCTTTACGAAAGCCTTAATTCTATACCACGGATTAAAAAACAAGTGTTAACAGATGTCAAAAACCAAGTTTGTTCTCTCCCAAACACCAATTAAAGTATTTTGGCCTATAATTAAGTTTGGGCCTCTTGAAGAATGAACACTATGTAGAGGAGATTTATTATCACCAAGTGTTGTGCGTATAAATATATTATCCTGAGTTCTAAAGTTGTCTTGGAAAAAAACGGGCATAGTTTTCTTTTGAAATGTTGTATTCCACAGATAACATAGATATTAAATTACTTGGTCTCCTCATCTATTGTTTGGATAGAGAATGCAGATTTTTATTTTATTTTATAAGCTTTCTTGAACATAAACAGCAGTTTCTGGTAAGGTGATGTTACTATGCATTTGCATTGTTATATAATTAAATTATGGATTCTGTCATTCAAAATAGAAGCTTTATAAATTGAGTAAAATCTCATAACTAAGATGAATAAGTTTATTTAAATCTCATGCTGCCTTATATTCTGTAGTTTAGTTTTATAGCGCAACTTGATATAATTTTTTAAAGTGTAACCTTTTTTCTATTTCTGTGTACTGTTTTTGCTCTGCTAAACTGTCGTTGTTTTCTAAGAAAAAGCTTAAGATAAGTTACTTTATGTGAAGGATATAAAAGCACAAAGGCATGTTCACTTCTTTATCGGTATATTGGCAGGAAATGTGCCAAATACAGTGTGTTCTCTCCCTCCCTTCTTCTCCCTCTGATTACATTCAGTGTAGATGATATTAAAACTAAATTGTAACAAATGGTGAAATTCCAATTATTCTTTTTTCTTTCTTTTCTTTAACTTATCTAATGTTTGGAATTCCTGAATATGAAAGACACTCTTCATTATATAGCTTTTTTTTTGCAGTGGAGTTACAAATTGTATTCTATGCTTGTGTAGGCTAATTGTCTAAACAAGCTATCTGGGTGGCTCTGCAATCCTTAAGCAATGCTGCTCAGCAGCTGCCTAATTTCTTTTCTCACTACTGCTGTCAAACTACCCCAACACATAGGAATTTGAGTGGTGGCCCTAACTGGAGTATGCAGCAAGATGAAAAATAGTCAAAGGAGAAGGAGGGTCAGGAGTAAGTTATTTAGACCCGGTTAGGCGTCAGGGTCTCCAAATGCAGCTGCAATTGATAATAAAAAGGACTGAAATTCAGAAAAGCGGTCAGTGGTAGAGATAGAGATTTAAGATCCAAGCAATTGTAGAAGTATTTGGAACTTTGAAAAAGCTTAGTTTCTCCGGGGAAAAGAAGTTAGAGAGGAGAGCAAGAGGATTTAGAACTGGGCCTTGGGGAAATCTTTAATGTCAGGGTGTGGGAAGAGGAAGAGAAACCCTGAAGTAGAAGTGTAAACTACCATGTTTGGCTGTGGAAGTCACCAAGTGCCACTGCCTCCATCAGCTGTTAATTCTGAGCCTGATCACCTGAGTTTTGTAGATGGAGAGTGGAGAATCTAGGAACTAAAGATCCTTGCCAATTTCTGTCTTGCTTCACCTTGGTGGGTGTAAAAAGAAGCTAATGGTTTCTCTCGGGGGTATGTTTATGGGGAAAATAGCCCTATTACTGTGATTTAGCACACACAGGGTTCTCCTTACACTCATTATATATGTTGAAATTGCACAGGTATTCCTAGGCTACTTTTAAGAATTTAGGGGGATTAGGTTAATACGATTCTTAACTCATACTACCAATAAATTATTATTTCTCCAAGATTTGCATAGAAATATAAAAGTACATAAAACTAAGATATTTGATTTTATAAATCATTTTAATTTAATTTAATGTAAATTGAGCATTGGGAAAAACGAAAAGACGAACTCCACAGAAGACGATGGACACTTTTAATTTCTCACACTGACTTTTAAGTTATACTCAGCTTCTTGCCAGAGGAGTTAAAACAATAGAGCCACCTTGTCCTAGTGATCTAATATTTAAAAAGAGCAGTTGCAGTACATCTAGGTTTGCATTATATGTAGCTCTAGAAAAGTTTTGAAGGTCATGTCTTGATTCTCAATGAAATTATAGGAATGTTTTAATAACAAGATAACTAAACAATGAAGAAGTGATTGCATAAACTATGTAGGCATCATAAATAAGGAAGACACATAGCATGTGTTGAATGAAAACACTTGGTGAACAAACTCATTTTTCTCTTGGGAATTCAGGTGGCCTAGCAGCTTGCACTCCTCCATCCAAAAAAATGTTGCCCTTTTGCTCCCCACCTTCCCCTCCCCCAATAACCTCATGTACTGTAAAGAATCTTAGCATCTGTGGGAAACAGAATTGTTTGCAGTTGTGCTTCCTTAAAAGGTTTATGGTGGACCTGGTAATCCAAATAAGAGAGACTCATTAGCTTCTTTGTATAGTGCTCATGAGTAAAACACAGTAATGGGTCACATTGTGACAATGTGATCAACAACTAGTCCAGCGACATCCTTTGCTGCTACATAGTAAACATCATAATTAGCAGCCATGCCAGCATTTAGGTGACACCAAAAGCATGTTTGGTTCCACAGAACTGACATACTATCCTGTCTTGAAAGTGCTTAACATCAATAAAAAACATTCAATTTGCTGAGAATCCAAAATACACTTTGGTCTCCATCATGCAAGTGATCTAGGGCCATTATCTCCGGAACCTAAGGAACAAAATGGTTGCCAAGCATAGGGATTTATTATTTCATTAACAGACTGTCAGTGAATTTCAGGGTGTTTCTCGCCTTATATGGATTCAAGAAGAGTTTTGGAGCTTAGATCGTCCCCAGATAATGGAGTTCAAAATTTATCTATTTGTGGATAGTTTTAATTAAATGTTTTCCCTATTCTTCATTGTTAGGGTCGGTGCACTCGAGAGAACTGCAAGTACCTTCACCCTCCTCCACACTTAAAAACGCAGCTGGAAATTAATGGGCGGAACAATCTGATTCAACAGAAGACTGTCGCAGCCATGTTCGCCCAGCAGATGCAGCTTATGCTCCAGAACGCTCAAATGTCATCACTTGTAAGTTGCAGCTATCTTTTGAAAATTGCCAATAAATATCTACAGTGGAATAACCTGGCAGGGACTTGAGGAAGTTAGTTGCAACAGGATTTAGGACACAAACTAATGTGTTCATTGACACTGCAGAGCTGTGCACATGAAGAGAGCAGTCAGGTGTGTTGCATTGAAAACCTGGCTGCATTTATGCATGAGTTCAGTTCGTAAGAGAATATGGACAAAGGAGCAGGGACATTTTAAGATAAGAAGAGCTTTTATTATTATTACATGGAAACCTTTGAATTCTAGGACATTAATTCAAACAGATTTTCTTGTTTGATGGGGATTTTGTTGTTTTTTATTTCTTTTTGAGACAGAATTTCACTCTTGTTGTCCAGGCTGGAGTGCAATGGTGCAATCTAGGCCCACTGCAACCTCTGCCTCCCAAGTTCAAACAATTTTCCCTCCTCAGCCTCCTAAGTATCTGGTATTACAGGTGCCTGCCATCACGTCCAGCTAAATTTTTTGTGTATTTTTAGTAGAGACGGGGTTTCACCATGTTGGCCAGGCTGGTCTCGAACTGCTGACCTCAGGTGACCCACCTGTCTCAGCTTCCCAAAGTGCTGGAATTACAGGTGTGAGCCATTGCACCTGGCCTGTTGTTGCTTTTAAATAAACTTTCTATTTTGAAATAATTTTATATTTACAGAAAAGTTGCAAACACATTAATAGTACAAAGAGTTCCTGTATTACCCTTCATCCAGTTTTCCCCACTGTTAACGTCTTATATTACTGTGGTAGATTTGTCAAAAGCAAGAAACTGGAATTGCACGTCATTACTATTAACTAAACTCCAGACTTTAGTCAGATTTCCCCAGGTTTTCTATTAATGTAATCCTTCTATTCCAATGTCTGATTTAGGGTACCACGGTGCATTCATTTGAATTTTAGCTCCCCTCTCTTCTCTGCCCTATCACCATTTCTCAGTTTTTCCCAATTTCTCATGATCTTGATGGCGGCTTTCCCTTATCCTAGCTGCAGGATTTCCCTATGCAAAAATTAATAAGATTATGTGTCATTCTAGACAAGTATCTATTATTTTTGTGGACTTGTGAGTTTAAATGGATCCTTTAGAAATTAATTAAGCTATATCTTTTCATATTGTTTTATTGAAAATCCACTTTTGTCCCTATGCCTTAAAATATAAACTTTCATTTTGCTTTCACATCTCTTAGGGGGAATTGAAAACTGTCCCTTTTCTGCCATAGTTCTTCAAGCCTCACATTTAACTCAGTGGTGCCTCATTCTAATTCCAGCTGGCCTACTTCCTTTAAAGTATTAACAGGATAAATTTGAAAAGCCTATGTTACCTTTATTTGTTACACACTTAATCAGTGACTACAATGAACATATTGAAAGCTGAAATATGTATGTAGTATTTAGATGCAATGTAAATGTGGGAGTAGGACAGTCTGCTATCAGTAAAGCCCATCTCATTAGAAAGTTGATTCTCAGAATTCAAGGATATGGCACACTTTCATGAATACATCTTTATGGATAAATGCAAAAACAGGTGGGAGAGGCAATGATGAATCACGAAAGGTTTGTACCATGATACTCTTTTTCCAGAATGTCTAGACAGATTTAAGTAAAATAAATAGATTTCATGTTCTGTACTATTAGTTTACCAAAAAGATTTGCCTTGGAACTCAATGGTGATTAATTATGTTGGTAAATTAGTTCCTAGAAGGTAAGCTCCTCAAAGCTCCTCTTTGACCCTCAGTAATTCTTTACATTGTTGAAGTCCTTGCACAAACTCTTTCTCTGGGCTTTCACGTACTGATGTATCCCAGTCCCTCCCTACTTCTAAGGGCAGAGGGAAGATAAAGTCTTTTGGATACTGAAAATTGTTATGAATAAAATCATAGAGAAGTAAATGTGCTTGGTAAGTACAGAAAATGTGAATGAGCAGGGAATAAAGCAAGGCAGCTTTTATTTTTTTTCCCAAGCTTTACTGAGGTACAGTTAGCCAATAAAATTGTATATATTTTAAGGTGTACAGCATGTTGATTTGTTAGATGTATACATTGTGAAATGAGATGGCATGGATGAACCTGGCAGGCATTAAGCCAAGTGAAATAAGGCAGACACAGAAAAACCAAATACTATATGATCTCACTCATATGTGGAATCTTGGAAAAAACTGAATGCATAGAAACAGAGAGTCGAAAGGTGGTTGCCAGGGAATGTGGGTGGAAGGGGATGGGGGAGGATGTTGGTCAAAGGTATGGCAAGGGAGATTTTAACTCACAGTTGCTACTCTCAGCTTCTCATGGGATGTCTCAATTTCAAACTAAGCAAAGAATAGGATGCAGATTTCATTATCAGACACCTGAGCCCAGTGTTTCCTACAGAGCTGGAACACTTATCTTTTTAAAGGTCAAGGGACAGCTTCAGAGTACTAGTGAAATGCCTTGTTTCAGGGAATCAGAGAGCAAGAAGTGGAGTAAAGTAGGGATACTGAGGGAAGCCGTTCTATTCAGCCTCTGCTAGAGTCTCTCCATTCCAAGTCTCACTCTTCACATGTTATTGATCAATCATGCTGGCTCACACTGGAGAATAGGGAGTAACTTTTTTGAGAATCCAATAAGAAATCCATTTTGCTTTCCAGCCTTTCTTCACTTGTGCTTTCTAATTTGATTCTCCATGCTTTCTATGTTATAATATGTTTCCTGATCTTTTCTTCGATGAGGGTAATTTCAGACTTCAGATGAGAGAAGATGACTGATATGATTCACAGGAGTACAGTTCACTTTATAGCATATTACAAGTTACAAGGCATTACTTAGAAGACCCAAGGCAACAATTGGAAATTGCTTCTCTACCTTGTAGGTTATTTAATGATAGCTGTTATGATGCGATGAGCTGATAAATGATTAATTCCTGCAGCTATTATGTGTACAAAAATCTAACCCCAAGATGGTTGTTATGTTCTTCTCCTATGATCTAAGGAAGCCACTTTGTAAGCATGGTATAATTGAGCTAGTGTGAGCAATTTTAAGTATCATTTACCAGTCTGATTTGGAAAAAATTTTCTTTATTGTGGATCCTGATATTATTACAGAAGTAATGTATCATTTTACTTAATTTCTCTGGTACCTCCTCTCCCCAAAACAACTCTCTATCCCTTTTAATCACCCCCACTCAATAATCTGATTCTTGTCTTTAAAATAGTCAAGCTTTTGTTTAAGAAATTTCCAGTGATGATATTTGTAGGGTTGCATATTAAGACCCATTTGTATCACTGGCTTGAACTTCATGTCTTTCCACAAAGAATACTTTGATCTGTTTCTAGGATACCAGAAAAGCACATCTGCCTTGGCAAAATTGAATATGGTTTGCTTATTATAAGCCCCTAGATAAAGGGAATGTCAACCTAAATGCGATGGTAGCTAAAGAACAGATACTGTTAAGTGTGAATGAACAATGAATAAAAGCCACACCTAGTCAATTTGGGTGGAATGCTGACTGGAGCAGGCAAGTTGGTTCACTCTATTAAACAGGTCTGAATTGACATTTGCCAGTATAAAAGTCCACCTCTGAAAGCTTTTTGTTGGCTTTATTAAGGAAGTTCAGCAGGTGAAACAAAAGGTGTGACCCTCTAGTGTTTTTCAATGCAGTTTGAGAGAGATTGTTTCTGACGTTCCCAACAAAAAAGTATAAGTTGAAGTATCCCCTTGGCATAATCAGAAGGGAAATACAACCACTGTGGAAGAATGTTAGAAAGAGTAGACCCTGAAGCAAAGCTAATGTTTTAAAATTTCAGCTTTACAATTAGGAATTTTAGTTATGAGGAAAGATTCTCACTACTGGATGTGGTGTATGTTTTTATAAAGTGAATATGATACTATAGGCTGTTGAAATGTTTTTATTTGGATGTTTTGCATATGTATACCTGTCCATATCCAAACTAAAGGAATACTTGGGAAATTTCTTTAGTTTCTTTCTTTGAATGTGGTGATTCACATGGAAACAGATCCTGACACACAGGTGAACTTGACCCAGTAGAGTGTATTCATTTGATTATTTATATAGGGATTGTTAACTAAGCACATTTGAAGTTGCACTGGGATGTACCAAGTAATCAGGTTCTGTTGTGTGCCATTTATGGCCGGTATTCCTGTTGCCAAGTTACTGAGTTCCAAACCATGAAGGCCATAAACAAGGGTTCCTCTCCAGGTTTTTCTTTATCTCAAATTGAATCATCTGATGTCTGCCTGGATCCCTCTCTACCTTTCTACATCATTTTTATAATTCTATTTGCCAAATGTATTTCTCATAAACAGGCTTGTATGTTTAGCTAACATTAATATAGTAAGGGACGAAGGTGATGTAACACTTCAGAACCAAGAGAAAAAAATAGAAAGTTCAAGTAGATAGTAGGAATGGAGATATACCAATTAATGAATAATGAATAATATTGTTTTTAATGTTTCTTTTTCTCTTTTACTAAAGGGCTACAAGGTATTATAGTACTTAGGTTTATATTACTTATAAACTTAGTGACTAAAGATAAAATTGGAAAATATTTATTTATTTATTTTGAGACACGATGTCACTCTGTGGCCCAGGCTAGGGTGCAGTGGCATGATCATCGCTCAGTGTTGCCGCAAACTTCTGGGGTCAAGCCATCATCCTGCCCCAGCCTCCTGAGTAGCTGAGGCTACAGGTACACATCACCATGCCCAGATAATGTTTTTTTTTTTTTTTTTTTTTTTTTTTTTTTTTGAGACAGAGTTTCGCTCTTGTTACCCAGGCTGGAGTGCAATGGCACGATCTCGGCTCACCGCAACCTTCGCCTCCTGGGTTCAGGCAATTCTTCTGCCTCAGCCTCCTGAGTAGCTGGGATTACAGGCACGTGCCACCACGCCCAGCTAATGTTTTGTATTTTTAGTAGAGACGGGGTTTCACCATGTTGACCAGGATGGTCTCGATCTCTTGACCTTGTGATCCACCCGCCTCGG